TCTTTTGCTTGTATTTTGAGGGGAGCAATTTACTATATCAGCTTGTGTTTTCATGTACCCATTACCACCTTGCAGCGAATAGTAGGATATGGAGTAGCTAAAGTTGTGGATTCTGGGCATTCAAACTTCAAGAGAGGTGACCTGGTTTGGGGATTTACTGGATGGGAGGAATACAGCATTAACACTTCTCCTGAGACTCTATTCAAGATTCAACATACTGATGTGCCTCTGTCCTATTATACGGGAATTCTTGGTATGTTTTCTGTTTTTGGCGTTTCTAGTCTTACTACACCTTAGCCAAACATATCACGAGCTTTAAGAGTAGGTCAATTCCACTATTCCCCTGTGTAGTTCTGTAAAAAGAGAAAATGTCACAAAAATACAACAGCCCGCTTGATCCCCCCCCCCCCACACCAAAAGAAAGCACACACTCGAAGTCCTCGTTCAAATTCGGCTATAGGATCTAGTTGGTGCGGCTCCATTCCTTGTGGACCTGAAGGTAAAGCTTCCCACACTTGAGCTGGCTTTGGTTCACCCTAGACTGCTGTTAACTAAAGAGTGGAGCAAGTATGTTATTGTAGATGAGATGGTTAATGCATGAAATTTCAGTCCATGGAAAAAGAGAACCTTCCAATAGCATTTGGCAATCAGCCAATCAATGGACAAATGGGTTTCTGTTATGTGCCTTGGAGATTCCATAAACAAACTTTTGAAATTGTGCAGGAGTAATGTTCACAATTCAGAGATGTTGAAGTGTAAGTCTTTTAACGGCAATCTGCATGGCCTTGATATTGTCCAGATCTCCTGAGGGAAACTTGTGGTCTGGATTTCTCAATTCATCTATGTATATATGTATATGTCTATACAAATACATGTCTTAAGCTGAGTCCTGGACCCATAAAAGTTGTAGAAGCATTAGGAAAATAAACGATAGAATTCGGGCCCCATGAAAATCATACTCATGCGCCAGAGGATAAGAAATTATGATAAAGGATGGTCTAATTTATGGTATCTGGGACAATAATATTCTCTGTGAGAGCCCTGTGCCAGCACAGGAAAATTGGACGGGCCTTGAGAACCACAACTTATTGTGTAAATAAATTAGGATTCATCGATTATATTGTCTTTGGTCAATATAGATTGCCCTTTTTTAAGCATTCACAGAATACTTTCAAGACATTTTAGTAAAATTCAAATACTTTTTATTTAAGTTCATATATAGTCCAACATGGTAATTTGCATGAAAAGTATGCAGCAGTAATTAGAAGATTGTGTTCAATGGTTGATCTATACGTTTCACCATCTCCTGATTTTCTTCCTGTGGATGCTTTGTAGGTATGCCTGGTCTGACTGCTTATTTTGGTTTCTATGAGATTTGTGCTCCAAAGAAAGGAGAGTATGTGTTTGTTTCAGCGGCCTCTGGCGCAGTTGGTCAGCTTGTTGGGCAGTTTGCAAAGTTGTCAGGATGCTATGTGGTTGGAAGTGCTGGAACAAAAGAAAAGGTTGGTGCTTTGAAAAAATTTGTATAGCTTTTACTTATAAGATGGGTAAAAATTAGATGAATCCCCTTTAAGAAATTATCTTTGTTGGTTTTTGCTTCCTTTTTATCTTGCTTATGTTACCTATGAAAGGCTGCTAGTTAACCACTTGTGATATGCTACTGTTTAAGTCAAACATCGGCTAGACATGAACCATTACATCTTTATATATGTTGAAATCCCCCCCCCCTTCCCTCTCTCTACAAGGACTGTTTTGGAGAGAGATTCAAAGGGGTTCTACATATCCTGAAATGGTATTAAAGTCGGGAGCATCCACAATGCTAAGCTTTTTATTTGAGCTTTTCCCAAAAAAGTGGGACCCACAAGCTCCAAACAAAACAAGCTTATTGAAAGCTTGTGCATAATGGAGTTGCAAAGAAAAAAGTGGCTTTTTATGTCAGATCTTTATCCATATCTTATGTGGCTAAAGAGCTCTCCAAAAAGCTACGTTCTGGATGTTCTAACACCACCTACGGACTCAACAGGTGACAGTTAACATCCTCTTTTGCCTCCATTCGTGGGGGCACCGTCTAGTCTCCATTTGAGGCTCGTGTTGGAGTCTCACATCGGCTAGACCTAGACCATCAAAGTTCAAACGTGTATATACATTGTAACACCCCCTCTCTAAAACTGTTTCTTTTGGAGAGGGATTCTAAAGAGTTCCACATATCCAAACAGCTATCAATAAATATTTTTATGGTAATGTTACACGCCTTAGCATCATTGTCTTTTGGTCTCAATATCGTTTTTGTATGTGTATTTCATCACCCAAGGTCGAGCTGCTGAAGAATAAATTTGGATTTGACGAAGCTTTTAACTACAAGGAAGAGCAAGATCTAGATGCAGCTCTAAAGAGGTTAGCCCTAAAGCATAGTTGTCACCTAGGGTGTTAACAAGTCGAGTTGCAGGTTATTCGAGCTCGGCCCGAAAAAGTATTACCAGGCTGAAGCTCGAGTCAAACTCGAATAACTTTTTCACAGTAGGGCTTGGTCTCGAATATTATTTCAGAGCTCGAACTCGATACTGGTTTACGGACTCGAACTCGAGATCGATTACCTTGTTTATGGCTTGACCTAGATAATTTTTATACTTGAATTATATGATTCATGAACAAATGAGCTTGTTTGGCTTGGAAAAGTGTATGCTCGACTTCACTTGGCTAGACTCGAAGAATTTAATCTAGCTTTCTAACGAGCCGAGTTGAATACTGGTGTTATGGAGCTCTACTTGCTAAGTTAAACGAGTTTTATTGTGTGTTCAAGATCCACTCGAGCTCGACAATTATTAAGCTCGAGCTCGTGTAGCTTGTTTAAAGCTCGACCCATTAAGAGGATTTTTGTTTCTTTTTGAAGTATATAATATTTATATATGACAAATACTTACTCGCACTCCCCACCATTGCTAAGGTTTGAATCCTTAATCTCCACGGAGGCTAGCGTTAACCCTGGGCCAATGACCCTTTGATATAAAAGAAATCGTTGTCAGATTAGTTTTCTAAGATGGTTCTTTTTATGTAAATCTATCAGGTACTTCCCCGATGGCATTGATATTTATTTTGAGAACGTTGGGGGGAAGATGTTGGAGGCCGTACTGTTGAATATGAGATTACATGGACGCATTTCGGTTTGTGGGATGATCTCACAGTACAACCTGGAGCAGGGGGAGGGGGTGCGAAACCTGGTTTGCCTGGTAACAAAACGTGTGCGCATGCAAGGGTTCATCGTGGGTGATCGCTATGATCTGTATCCAAAGTATATGGAAATGGTTATACCCCTCATAAAAGAAGGGAAGATATGTTGCATCGAAGATATTGCTGAGGGACTTGAGAGCGCACCTGCGGCTTTGGTCGGGCTATTTTCTGGCCGAAACGTTGGTAAGCAAGTGGTGGTCATGGCTCGTGAATGAGTCGATATGGTTGGCTTTTAGATTTGGATGGTTATATTGGAGTATTCTTATGAATAAGAATTTATTGTAAAGCAAGAATATAGAAGTAATTTAAACTTTCTATAGGTGTGTTATATATCTTTTCAATCTTCTTTAGATTTTCAGACTTATTCATCTTCTTTTATTGTTTTCTCCGTTTTAAAGAAGAGTTTAGCATGACTGTTGAAACAAATTTTCTCCAAATCTCCAAATGTTTTAAAATAGCATAGAATGGACGGACCCATATTTTTTTTTTAAATGGTGGTACCATTTGACTATAAGAAAAAAATTATAGCGAAAAATTTTCAAACAGTGGCATCGGTTAACTATAAAAAACAAATATACGAATTTTTTTTTTTAATTGGTGGCATTATTTGACCAAGAAAATGATGCTAACAATATTTGAATTTGGGTTTGGAGTGGAATAAAAGCTTTGCAAACCAACTCTACTAAATAAAATTTGTTCTCATTATAGTTTCAAAATACATATGATAACACACAACAAATTAATATGATTGCACCCTTCATGAATATATGTTTTTTTACTTTTCGAAAATAATACAATGGCATCATCATGATAGGTCTGTCCAGAGAGCAACGGTCCAGGACAGCAAAAAGCCCAACAACATCCATTTTCTACAGCCCAATATACATGAAATGTTACCGTTACCAGTCTATTAATCTCAATCGTTCTAGATTCGTCCTCCTCCTCCCTCGATGCTCGCAGTCTCGCCTCGCTCTGTCGCTCACGGTCACGGACGAAGAGTTTTCTCAAATCAGTGAATCACCACTTCTTCTGAACTCAGATTCACGAATCACGAATCGAAATCTCGTTCTCTGCCTCTCTCGACTCTCGACTCTCGCTCGCCTCTCGCATCTCGTGACTTGTGAGGTTAGGCCATTAGGGTTATTTACTTTACGTATTTCATTATTTATGTTTCTAATTCTTGTTTGATTGCAAAACCTAAGTATGATATGAAGCTGTGAAATTGGTCCTTTGTGGTTTGTCATTTGTGTTTCTAATTCTCGCTCTCTGCCTCTCTCGAGTCTGTTACTGTATCGTGTATCACTGTATGTCTGTATGTATAATGTTAAATTGTTAATGTATCATGTATGCCTCTTAATTGAAAAACCTAAGTATGACTGATTGACTGGATGAAGTTGTATGTAATGCTGTATGCCTAATTGTCTACCTACAAATTAGTCTAATACTGTATGTATACTCTTGTTCCTTCCTGAAAAAAAAAAACAACCATTTCTTGTTAGATTTTCCATTCCTTTCAATTTGCTCAAGCCTTCAAATTTTTACTTTTTAGGGCTGTTTAGAAGCTTTTTAGGAGCTGTTTTGAAGCTGGGTAGTATAGGACAAAAGCTTAGGATTAATGCTTATGTTTTCTCCTTTTATCAATTTGTCCAGGTTGCTTAATCATTCCACTTTCTTGGCAATTTCACAACACGAACTACGAAGGACCAAATCCAGGTGTTATCTTTCTATTCTTTGTATTGTATCATTTGTTTAACAATTTAATTACTTAAGTTATGCTTCCTCGATTACTACCCTCGGGTGCTCAAGATAGGAAAAGAAAGGAAAGGCAAGAAGAAATTGCTCAATCGAGTAATAATGAAACACTTGATATAGAGCTACAAGATTTTATAAAAAAGGATATTGATCATTGGAAAGAAGTTTTGGTTAGAATAATTGCTGTTATTAAATGTCTAGCAAAGAATAATATAGCTTTTCGTGGGAAAAATGAAAAATCTTTTGAAGAATCTAATGGTAACTTCTTAGGCTTAATTGAAATGATTGCTGAGTTTGATCCGGTTATGAAACAACACTTTCAGCGTATCAAAGAAAAAAGAACTCATCATCATTGTCTTAGCCACAAAATTCAAAATGAATTGATTGACATGTTGGCATCTAATGTTAAGAGTGCAATCATTAAAAAGATCAAAGAGGCAAAATATTTTTCAGTTATTCTTGATTGTACTCCGGATGCAAGTCATCAAGAACAAATGACTTTGATTATAAGATGTGTTGACGTGTCCAACTCTCCTATACAAGTAGAAGAGTTCTTTTTAGAGTTTTTGGTGGTAGAAGATACATCTGGTTTAGAACTTTTTAATGTATTACAAGATGTTTTGAAATCACTTGATTTGGATATCAATTATGTTCGGGGACAAGGGTATGACAATGGCTCTAATATGAAAGGGAAACATCAAGGTATGCAAAAAAGATTACTTGATATAAATCCTAGAGCCTTTTATATGCCATGTGGTTGTCATAGTCTTAATTTAGTTTTATGTGATATGGCAAATTCTTGTCACAAAGCAAAAACCTTTTTTGGTACTTGTCAAGCCATATACAATGTCTTTTCTAATTCTACAAAAAGATGGACTGTTTTATTAGAATACATTGATGATTTGACTTTGAAATCTTTATCTGCCACCCGATGGGAAAGTCATATTGAAAGTGTTAAAGCTATCAAAACTCAAGTTGGCCAAATTAGAGATGCTTTAATACAATTGGCTCAAGTAAGTGAGGATGGAAGAGTGTGTAGGGAAGCCGAGTCTTTGGTTAATGGTGAGCTTTCAAGTTTTGAGTTTATTGTAAGTTTGGTTATTTGGCATGAAATTCTATATAGAATTAATTTAGTTAGCAAGAAGTTACAGTCTAAAGATATGCTTCTTGATATTGCAATACAAAATCTAAAAGGATTAGTTGAATATTTTGAGAAATATAGGGAAAATGGGTTTACACGTGCAATTCGTGAAGCTAAAGAGATTGCAAGTAATATTGGAGTTGAACCTGAGTTTGCTGTAAAACGTTTTTTCTCAAGGAAAAAACAATCTGATGAAATTCCAAATACGGAGAAAGAACAACAATCCGCTCAAGAGACATTTAGAACTGATTATTTTCTTGTTTTAGTTGATATGGCTCTTTTGCAGTTACGAACCAGATTTGAACAAATGCAAGAATTTGAATCTATGTTTGGTTTCTTGTTTGATGGGCGAAGTTTGGTTACTTTAAATAATGACGAGTTAAAAAAATGTTGTTTGAACCTTGAACTTGCTTTAACAAATGGTAATGATTCTGATATTGATGGCAAATATTTATTTATGGATTTACAAGCTTTGCAGGTAATGCTACCAAAAGAAGCATCTAAGAGTGGAAATCCTTGGACATCCATACAGATTATGGAATTCGCAAAGAAAATGGACGTGTTTCCACATGTCTTGCTTGCTTACAGGATACTATTGACCGTACCGGTCACCGTAGCATCTGCAGAAAGAAGCTTTTCAAAGTTAAAGGTGTTGAAGTCATATCTACGGTCCACCATGAGTCGAGAAAAATTGAACGAGTTAGCAATCTTGAGTCTTGAGAATAAGTTTTTAGCTAATATTAGTTATGATGAAGTGATAGATATTTTTGCTTCAAAAAACACAAGTAGGCATCATGTTAGGTGAATGGTGATGTATTTTATATTTTGTTACCCGGGGTTTTGGTTTATGTCCCCCTCGTTGCATCATTTTTGTTATATTTAAAATAAATCGGCGTGGGGATGAGCCGCCTAGATTGACTAGGTTTCAAACCCCTTAAAATATTTATTTTGGTTTTTATTCACACATATAAGGGACTTTTTTTTGACTTTCCGTCATGGGCATCCAAAATCTCAGGGCCGGAGATGCTCTAGCCAACTTAGAACCGTTTATGCCAAGCTTGGACATTTTAAGACCCCATGGTGAAACAACTTGGAATCGATCAAACCAAGGTCAGATTTTTTAGTTACTACTGTTTATTTCCGGGTTTGGGTTGGGATCATGAGCCTAATTTATTTTTCTTGTCCAATGAGTTTAATATAGCAAACTCACGCCCTTTTTACAGACTTGAAAACTTGCCCTTACCCACCCTATAAACGGGCTGGACGTGTCCATGAGCTTAAAAATCTTTTTATATTTTTAAGAAAACAAAACTTATATAAAATCACAAGTTATGTAAAATAATTCAAAATACATACCAATTTTTCCAAGTTAAAGTTAGACGTAAATACATAACAATTTACATAATTTAGAACAAGATGGTTAAAGTATGGAGTGTCGATAAAACAAATAACCAAATGAGATAATAAGGAATTAATCATTTGAGATAACTGTTTTTTAAACTTTTTAGATTTTGAAAGACTGTTATTACGATGAGTTATAATAAAGTGGAAAATTGATAATTGTCAAGAATTTTTTCAGTTTTATTTGTAAATTTTAATTATAAAAGTTAATCATTATAAAAATATTAATGGGTCGTATCCAATTCTTTTTTTTTTTTTTTTTGCATCGCCCGTGTCTAACCATTAATCTTAACAAGTCAGTCTAGACCCGTCTGTTTTCTTCGAAAATGATAAATCCAATCCGCTTAACTAATGAACTGAACAAGACGAGTCTAATAAGTCATCCCGTCCTTAAACTGTTCTATTTTTAGCGTCGTTATCGAACTAAAATTTTATAAGAATAGTGAGGCCATTGGGTCTAACCAATTTGGAACCACTCATACTAAGCTCCTTTTTTAGTTAATTACTACTTAAGCCTAAAAAATTAGTATATTATGAATAAAGTAATTTATATTAATTAATTTAATTAATTTTTTTTTTTTAAAACATGGTAATATATTTGTTATGATATAAATATATGATTGATTAGGCATTTATCTTTTTATCAACTTTTTTTTTTAAATTTTACTTTTTTTATAATCATTTTTTAATTATTTTTACAAATAAAAAATTGTCAATTATAATTATACAACTCTTATCGTAATTTTTGAATTTTTTTTTAGACACAGAGGTTTAAATCTGGTAATTTTAGGCTATCTGCAAAGCAAATGGTTATGTTGGGATTAGTCGGCTTATATAACGAGTTGAATATTCAAGTTAATAAAAAAAATCTTTTCGATTTTTCATAAGAACTTCATATTTATATTTTATTCAAAAGTAAAAACATTATCGCTTTTTTAAAACCATATAAAAACATATTATTAAATCGACTGAGATAAAAAATAAATAAATAAAATAAAATATTAAAATCAAGATGTATCTAACTGTACAGTTAGTAAGAGTACCCTTTTAGTTACTTTTTAAAACGGGGGTGGCTAATGGCACCCCTATCATGTGCTAATGCCACCCCTATGTAGGTTTTAATCATTTCTGTTTTATAAATTTTTGTGTTTTTTTGTTTTTTTGTGATGATTA